GAGCTCTTGGCATTTCAACCGCCTTTGTGGAAGGCCTTGGAAAGTGGAGGATCTTGGAGGGTTACCTCACAACTTCCCTTTGAGAAGAACTCTTGGTTCCTTCCTGTCCTTCCTAGTTGCTTCCAGCTCAGGAAGAAGTTGACTCAGACTCACTGCTAATTTCTTCATTTCCTTTCTTGACTTACATCTTACGGATTCAGAATGTCATTCTGGTTTTCAGTGTGAGGTGATGTCCCCTTGACCTCCTGACTTTTGGGTGACCCTAAGCTTGATACTCGATGTACTTTGACCTTCCTAACCTTTACAGATGGAGAGAAGGGTTTCTGACACCTTCTTGGCTTGCCTGACATACACTCACGTTCGCCCATCCCAGCAGGGCATGGTTCATGTAATCCCATATGACTTCAAGGGAGGAACGCTACAGCTCACAAGAAAGAATGTGTAAGATAGAGTGAGAGCCCAGAGCTCAGAACTCTGAGCCTAGCTCTGGCAGGTTGATCGTGGGGCCTGGGATACACACGTTCCCTCTCAATAGGAACTCTGGTCTCCTCCGACTCACACACTCCTGCTGTTTATTTTCTCTTTGTCATAGTTTTCTGGCAGCTCTGCCAGGGTAAGGGCCGTGATGGTCCTGGCTCTGGGTCTCTCCCATTCCTCATCTCTCTCTTTCTCGTAGACTGGCACGTAGCAAGTGCCCCAAGTCCATGGTCAACTACAAGGGCTTTGTGGACAGCATCTCTTTTCTGTTATGTATAGTAACACCCTTAATTATCAGGGTGAATCTGCAAAGTAGGTTTTATTATTATAACAGGATGTTAAAACAGGGTGTTTTCTATCACAGGTTTCAAAGGCTGAGAACAAAATAGCAGGTGTCATCCGGTGGTGCTAGATCATATACGCAGGGCTTCCAACAGGGGCAGGCACACGTGGGGCCACCAGCATTAGCCCATCACTCAATTCCAACCCTGTGAAAGACTGTGAATAATCTGTGTTCAGGGTTAATGCTATTGAGCTTGGGGTTTTCAAATTGTAACAGAGTGAACTTTTTATCATCAGAAAAACAGTGAGTTGCTGTGTCTGAGGTTTAGGGCAGGACAAAAAAGATTTCTGTATGTGTATCACAATGCACTTGTTTTCTATGGTGACTATAACAAATTACCACAAATTTCCAGGTTTAATGAAACACAGATATACTGTCCTATGGTTCAGTAGGTCAGGAATCCGACATGAATCTCTAATGGGTTGAAACTAAGATGTCAGTCAACAGGCTGCACTCCTTTCTGGAATCTCCAAGGGAGAACATACTTTGCGTGCCTTTTCCAGCTTGTGGAGGTCGCCTGTGCTCCCAAGTTCACGGTCCTCTTCCTCCGTCTTCAAAACCAGTAATGTCAAGTCAGGGTCCTCTCACACTGCCATCTCTGTGGTCCTCTGCTCTGCATCTCTCTCCACTTTTAAGGATTCGTGTGATTCCACTGGAACCATCTGTATAATTCCAAATACTTTAAAGTCAGCCTATTAGCAACCTTGACACATCTGCAACCTTAATGTCTTCTTGCCATGTAGCTTCAGTTATTCACAGGATCCGGGTGGTCAGATGCATACATCTTTGGAGGATCCATGATTCTACCTACCACCAAAGGGGAATGATTGGGGGGAAATGAACCTTGCTAAGCCTTGCTCATCTTGTAAACTTAAGCAAATCCATTCTACGGTGGGGAAACTTGACATTGGAGAGATAAAGCATGGTGTCCATTTTTGACAGGGCATTGAGATCCCCTAATGCCTGGGTCCCATGCCCCAGGGATTCTGATCACATTGGTCTGGTCTACCATCGGTCACTGGAAATTTGTACAAGTTTCCAGGTCATTCTAATCACTGGACAAGGCTGGGAACCACTGGGTCAAGGAATTACTGCAATTCATCCAGATGCCTGGCAAATATGTTACTACACCCCAGTCCACCTCTAAACCCACGCAGGGGTCAATAGAGAAGAAACCTCCCATACTTCTTCCAGAGGGAATTTTTGCTTTAACTGGAAACAGACTGTGGTTAAAACCAAAGGAACAAAGCTTCAGGGGTAGAATATCCAGCACCTCATTTCCTGATGGCAACAAAAAACAGGCTTCCATTTGGGAAAGAAAAATGAGACTGTGCTCTCAGGATGAAACCCAGGCTTGAGACCTTGATAAACAGCATCGCTGTTATTGCTATGGTGATAATCACCAAGGCCGAGTGATGCAGAGGGTCATTGATAAAGGGACTTCTGGACATCTGAAACCTCATCCCAAGGCCTAAAGTCCCTCCCCTCCTCCCCTTAGAGATTCTGAGCTCTGTGTTCTCCGGTAGTGGCCCTGGGTGCAACCACCTTGCATCAACCCAACCCATACCCCTCCCTGATACCCTCCGCTCAGCCTTCAGGTCCTGGGTCCTGTAGTGGGTTAAATTGTGTCCCACAAGAAGAGACGTCCAAGTCCTAACCCCAGTGCCTGTGGATGTGAATTTGTTTGGCATTAGGGTCTTTGTACCTGTCATTAAGTTAAGGATCTTGAGGAAAGAACATGCTGGATTAAGGATGGCCCCAATCCAGTAACTGGTGTTCTTATAAGAGAACAGAAAGGGAGATTTGACACGTGGAGAAGGTGACCATGTAGAGACAGAGGCAGGGACTCAAGGAAAGCCATGAGCCAAGGAACACCACTGGTCACCAGAAGCCACTAGAAGCTGGGCGTGAGGCATGGGTTATATCCTCTCTCAACATCCTAGAGTGGACATGGCCCTACCATCACCTCGGTTTTGGACTTCTACCCTCCAGAACTATGAACGATTACATTTCTGTTTTCTAAGCCATTCCGTTTGTAGTAATTTGTTACAGCAGTCCCAGGAGACCAAGCAGTGTCATCCACACCTAAACTGGGTACCTCAGAATTCAGCACAGCAGAGAAAGCAGAATCCTGGCACCATGGCTCCTGCCTCCTGTCTGAGCCTCCAGCCCCAGGAACCTCAGCCTGGATTAAGGGTGCCAGGAAGCACTGGAACCACGCCCACTGACGCTGGGGAACTTGTAAACACCCTCAAACACAGCACACGATCTCATAGCCCCCTCGGACTCAAGGAGGAAAGAGGTGCATGAGGTCAACTCCAACCCCGTGTCATGCCAGGATGGCCCCAAGGCTGGGGGATGGGCCCCACTCACAGAGTCTTGGGGGTATCTGTTGTCTACTCAGAAGCGTCTCCTCACTCTAGGTGCTGACTGCACCCAAGATTATTTGGAACAACAATATCTCCTGCTCCAAGAAGGAGTCAAGCCTGGGATACTTGGATTTCAGCAGGTCCATTGTCCCCCTTGTCGATGATGGTTTATTTATTTAACCTTTTATTTTATTTAGATGCAAGGCATACATGTGCAGGTTTGTTACATGGGTATATTGTACGATGGTGAGGTGTGGGCTTCTACAAAGATTGTCACACAAATAGTGGGCATTGTACCCAGTGGGTAGTTTTTCAACCCTTGCCAGGGATGATTTGAAAGTGAGCACATGATCTAGTTCTAGCTGATAAGATGTAAGGGGAATTCTGGGGAAGATTTTTCTCAAAGTAAATAAAGAGGCCCTCCCTGGAGGGGAAAGCCCCTTAGCCCCTTCCTCACTGGCATCCAGCCTGGGATGCTGCTGGAGTGTGTGTGGGGGGGTGGTGTCTGGAGCAGGGGCCGCCATCATTTGTCAGTAGGGTGAAACTCCATCGGTGTGCTGAAGGTGACAAAGAAGAGGGCTGGGGAGAGTCTGTTCTTGATGACATCACAGAGACACTGACAAGTCCTGGGCCCACCAGCCTGTTGGAGTTTCCTTTGGTTAAGACCTTTAGTTGACTATTCCATTGCTTTCATGGAAACATCCTACCAGAGGCTATGACACAGGTTGGAGGTTACTCAGGGCCTGCAGGGCTGTGAGTAAGATTCGTAGGACACACAATGTAGCCCTGGGCCTATTTTTTATAGTCTACATGGCTCAAGGAAACAGAGCAATCAGAAAACCTGAGCTGGACTCTGATCCTCCTGCTCCCTGTATGAATCTGGGTACACCGTAAGCCTTTCGGAGTCTCACCTTTCACATCTGCAAAATAGGATGACAATTCACTGACTTAGTCTGAACGCAAATGATGTGATGTCTGTAAATTCCTTGTATGGCATGTCTTGTAAATGAACAAGGCTGTTAACCAGCTGCACTCACTTTTGCTTTAGGGTGTGTGTGTGTGTGTGTGTGTGTGTGTGTGTGTGTGTGTGTGTGTGTGTGTGTGTGAAAAAGGGAGTGGGGTGGGAAGAGAAAGAGTTGTAAACAGAAGATTTGCCTCTATTAGTGTGTCCTTACGAGGTGAATGAGAAAATCATTGCTTATCCAGGAATCCAAATCAACCCAAGGCTGGGATAGTTCAATCTCCTCGCAACAACTCCTTTTCGCATAATGAAGTTCCATCAGTTCTGCTTCCTCAAGGGTTCTTGGATCTGCTCCACCCTCCATCTCCACGCTCACTGCCTTGCTTCAGAGTGCAAGGTCTCTCACTAGGCCACTGCCCCCCTCCAAGCTGTTCTCTGCCTCTGTCCGGATCCTCTGTGAGTCCTTTCTACCACTCAGGTGGGACTGTGCTGCCTGGTGCTGTCCTCAATGGGCCCCCGTTTTCCTGAATCACTGTTTGCCCCCCATTCTCTCCCAGAGAAGCAGGTCCTTGTTTCCCCAACACCCACCATAGGGCCAGGTGTATGGTGGGGACTCCGTAAATATTTGCTAACAAGAAACCACCGCCTGGGATTCAAACCTCAGAAAGATTATTAAGACAGAGACGGTGTTGTCCAAGAATTGTCTTGAGTTCACAAATGGGAGCCGCTACTGCTTCACTGCCTGTAGAGACTTTATTGAAGGTGAGTGTCTTTTAGAGAACAAGGTAATCATGGTGGGCAGCCTGCGGGTGGTGGAGGCAGGCAGGGGAGGGGGGCGTTCAGGGGCTGGTCACTTGCTGTATGTCTTGGAGCCGGGTTCTGGAAGGCTTGGGAGGTCTCTCAGACCAGATCCAGCCATCAGCTCCTCCTCTTCACTCGCTGCAGACTGCCCGTCCTTGACGCCATCTGTAACAGGAAAGGCAGGGCAGGTCGGTCCAGACCAGGTCAAGACTTCTCCTCTCTAATCTCTTCCTCTTGGCCCAAAGAGATCCCAGCCTCCAGCAAGCATTCCCTGCACATACCCCACAGAGGAGCATTTCCAGTGGTCAGGGCACCAGATTCATTCCTGGCTAGAGGGACAGCAAAGGAGGTACTTGGGCTTGTCTGCAGAGAGCCACTCGGCTAAGGAAGCGAATGGCAGAGCTGAGAATCTAAAACATGAGCTGGACGAGGCCACCTCCTTGTTGAATGCGCCACTTCCGTCCCTCCCCACCTGGACAGCTTCTGCCATTCCGAAAGCCTCAGTGCCAGCATCGCCTTTCCTGGGGTCCCTGCCAAGACCCTCCATGGAGAAGCAAGTCCTCCCCACTCTGAGCTCCTGCTAGCTCAGGAGCAGACTTCCATCAAGCCCCAGGAGGGTTGGAGGCCGTCTGCTGGACTGTGGTGTTCATACTCACCCTTCCTAGGGCATTGTGTTTGTTTCTCCATGCCCAGTGCCCCCTGCTAAGATCCATTTTCTCCCCATAACATTTCTGCATCAAGAAGAGGCAGAAAAGTCCACCTACTTTTCCCCTGGCTGGAATTGCTTCTCCAATTTTCTATCCAGCCCATCAAGGGCTTTGAGGATGAGACTTCCAATCCTCCTTTCTCTCCCGACCTTCCAGGCTTTCTAACCCCCATCAGAACAGAAGGCCCTGGGGAAACACAGCTCTCCAGGATGTGAGCTCCTCATGGGAAGTAGCTGTGCCATTGGCATCAGTGACATGGTGGCTCCAAGCACACGGCCACAGGCCAGATGTGCAGTGAGCTCAGAGATGCTGAGACCAACAACCGCCCCCTCCACTGGGCCATGAGACCAGCCACCAGCCTCTCCCCCCACCGGCTTCTGCCTGCTCCCAGGCTCTGCTACCTGTGGATGCCTTCAGAGAGTGAATGTACTTGGACCAGAAGGAGCAGTCGGCTTCCTTCAGGCCCTGTCGACTTGGAAGCTGAGGGCTGAATTCTTTGTAGCTCCTCCCACCGGCACGAGGGACAAAGTCAGGCCAGGGGGTTGCAAATTCCGGGGCTTTCCGTGAGAATTCGTGAGGGTAGTTGGGATTTCTGGAAAAAGAAGAAGGAAATATTTCTGAGGAAAATGTGTCTTCCTTTTTATCATTTGGGATACCTCCCACTGCCCTCGTGCTCTGAGGGCCGAGGCTGGGCTTGGACCCGTGCTGTGAATGAAGATGGGTTTTTGTGTTTCAGGTTGTCAGTGGCAGTTGCTGGGCCTGACTTGTTCGTTCACCGTTTTACCATCTTTCTGGGGGACCCAGCACAGCTCTAGGTAGTCAGTGTATGTCTAGAAAGGAGAAAAGGAAGGGGGTTAGCAGCCAGGGGAGGGAAAAGAAGGGAGAATTTTGGAAGTGAGAACAGGGTGTATATGGACTGGACTCACATAGAGGCAGATGAAGAGGAGAAAGACCCATAGTAGAGAAAAAAGGACCCTGAGCATTGGAGGCTCAGATGAAAAAGGTAGGGTGCTCCTCATGGCACAGGGTCAGGGTTCTCCTCCCAGGGGAGGTTTGGCAATGTCTGAGATGTGTTTGGTTCTCATAGTTGTGATGAAATAGGTACCACAGGCATCTAGGGGGTAGGGGCCAGGAATGCACAGGACACAGCCAAGACATACCCAGCCTTCAATGTCAATAGTAGCCAGGTTGAGAAATCCTGCTCTAACTGGGCGTGGTGGCTCGCCTGTAATCTCAGCACTTTGGGAGGCCGAGGTAGGAGGATGGCCTGAGCCTAGGAGTTCAGGACCAGCCTGGGCAACATAGTGAGATTGCATCGCTACAAAAATTTAAAAAAAAAAATTAGCCAGGTGCGGTAGTGTGCACCTCAGCTACTCAGGATGCCGAGGTGGGAGGATCTTGCCTAAACCCGACAGGTCGAGGTTGCAGTGAGCCGTGATCTTGCCACTGCCCTCCAACCTAAGTGACAGAGTGAGACCCTGACTCAAAAAAAAAAAAAAAAGAAAGAAAAAAGAGAAAGAAACCCTGCCCCAGAGCCCTCAAAGCGGCTGTCATCACTGAAGCCTTTCCTTACAAAGATTAGTCAATGCAAAGGTAGTTTTGGTTGGGAGAAGGAGATGGAGACAGAGATGCCAGTGCCATCTAGGGAAGAAAGGGTGAACCTGTAGGGGCAACCCAGGGCCCCTGTGTTTAGCCTGAAGGGAGGGGGTGGGCATGCACTGTGATGGAATTCAGAATGAGGGGGCCTCTCACCCAGATCTGACAAAGTTGGAGAAGTACTGCATGATTTTCAGGGACAGGATCTTCTCTTCCAGAGAAAACTGCCCATCGTAGGCCGGGTAGAAGGGAAGCCCAAAGGCATACCGGACATCCTCCAGCAGGTCCAGGCTGAAGACACAGACAGGAAGAAGAAACAAAAATTAAAGACAAAATACATGGCTGGAAAAATGAGCTCAAATCCCCAATTCCTCCCCAAACAAAGACGTCACCCTCTTTGTGCATGTCTAAGGTCCCTGGCTAGTGCTCAGTTTAGTAGGGATCTGACTTGGTCTCAAGTTAGTCCAGTGGCCCTTCCAGGACAGACCCAGGGTTGAAGTATGAGCCGGGCTAAGCACTCGACTCTCTGGAAACAGTAAGGCCAACCATGTGATTTAGACCGGAAGCTTTGGGTCACATGGTATTAGTCAGCCTGTAAGCTGAGTCTAATCATTTGGGCAATCAATCAGTCAATCCATCATGCCTTCATAAATGGAGTCCCAATAAAAACTCTGAACATGAAGGCTTGTCTGCAAGCAGTTTTTTCAGGCAATGTTTGTTTAGCCATATTTTAACCATGATACCTAAGGATTTTTTGTTTGTTTGTTTGTTTGTTCATTCACTGACAAAGTACAACAAAAATAGCTTGTATTTGAGTCCTTTCTCTGCATGGGCACTTGGTTGTATGTAACTCACACTTTCATGACTCCTTGAGGGTGACATTGATCCATGGAGTCCACCCCAGTACAGTGCCTGGCACATTGGAGTTGTTCAATAAAAACATGCCAAGACTGAGCTGAATGTCTAGTAAGCAGCAAACAGGTGGGAAGAAAGACTCGGAAGCCAGTCTAGTGGGTCAGCTGACTGGAGCTGGAGCTGGCACTGGAGTCTGGGGTATACGGGCTGACGGAGTGAGCTCTGGGGGCCAGGGAAGTATCAGAGGGGGCGACTAGAAGGGATTGTACCCCTGATTGGCTGATACCAAGTGACCCAAAGCTCCCACCCTAAATCATGTGGTTGGTCTTTCTGGCATCAGTCAACCAGTAAACTGAGCCTAACCACCTAGGCAATCAGTCAATCAACTGTACCTTCATAATGAAAACCCAGTAACAACTCTGAACATGCCCAGGGACACCATGCCTGGGTCTAGGCTCCTCCACCTTCAAGCCAGGTGACCTCTGGCAAATATTTTGACCTCCCTGACTCTCTACTTTCTCATCTATGGAATGGGTAAAGAAATACCTACATCATAGAGTGGCTGTGAAGATCAAAATAAAATGGTATGTGCAGCAGGTATTTAAAGGGTAAATACCTACACTTTTGTAGTAATAACAGTAGTAGTGGTAAGAGGTCTTTGAGAATAGTAATAGCAGTAATAATATACACCTTTTCATAGTAGTAATAGTAGTCAGTGCCTTTGGGTAGTAGTAATAGTAATAGTAGTAATAAGTGTCCTTTGGTAGTAGCAATAGTAGTAGTAGTATGTACCCTTTCATAGCAGTAATAGTAGTAATAGTAGTGGTGAGTACCCTTTGGTCATCATAAAAGTCATAGTAATAGTAAGAGTCCTTTGGTAGTTGTAAGAGTAGTAGGAGTATGTACCCTTTAGTAGTAGTAAAAGTAGTGCTAGTATGTACCATTTTGTAATAGTAGTAGTAGTAAGTGTCCTTTGTAGTAGAAATAGTAGTAATAGTACCTACCACTTCATAGTAGTAATAATAGTAAGGACCCTTGGTCATAGTAATAGTCATAGTAGCAGTAAGTACCCTTTCATAGTAGCAATAGTAATAGTAGTACATGCTATTCAGTAGTAGTAACAGTAGGAGTAGTACGTACCCTTTCGTAGTAGTAATAGTAGTAATAAGTACCCTTTAGTCATAGTAGTAGTAAGTATCCTTTCATAGTAGCAATAGTAGTAGTAGTACATACCATTTAGTAGTAGTAACAGTAATAGCAGTAATAGTAGTAGTAGCAAGTACTCTTCAGTAGTAGTCATAATAGCAGTCCGCACCCTTTAGTAGTTGTAATAGTCTTAGTGGTAGTAAATGCTCTTTGGTAGTAAAGTGTGGTGCTAGCTCACCACATCACCCGACCACCCGATGCAATCACCTGTCTCTGAGGTCATGACAGCACCTCTGACCCGAGGTACAGATGGACCCCGCAGTTCTCGTCCACGTTGGTATGATGGACAGATGCGCCCAGTGACAGATGTCCTAGGAGGGGACTCAAATAGGTGACTCCCAGACAAGGGCGATCTGTGCAGAGGTTAGGTTATGTGACGTGCACGCTTTGTGGACAGACAGCTTGGCTCTGCCTACAACTCAGAGCAGTTCACCAGGAGGACCCTAGAGACTGGGAAAAGGGACCCTATACTCCAGGGGTCTGAGGGGGAACGTGTCAAGTGAGGAAGGTCCCTTCCCTGTTGCCCCTGGGCTGCTCAGGCTGGGGACTGTGGGGACAGCACAGGTGCAGGGGCCTTTCCTGAACTGAGGCCTGAGGGCCCAAGAACCAGCATTCCCACTGGGGCCATAAGAAGCATCACCAGTGTACACGAGACTGACAACAGGGACCAGAAGAACCAGACATAACCAGTCACTCAGCTGAGACGCGGCTCTGTTACTCACTGCTTGTGTGACTTGGGATGAGTCTTTGGACTTTTATGTGCCTCTCTCCTTATCAAATATCAGATCCAACAAGCTATTGTGTGTAGAAGCTCTATCTAAAATGAATGTTTTTACAGATGCTGGCTATTTTTGTGATTATGTTTATGATGTGTCAGTATCAGGGCCCTGAGCTGGAAGGCAGCCTAGCAGGGACAGGAAACCGTGTAAGGCCACAGCACGGTCAGGAAGAAGAGAGTAACGGTCACAAACTCTCCTCCCTCTCCTCCGGGGCCTCTTAGAGCAGGGGAAGGCTTTCCCGATTCCGAGAAGAAGTGGGACATGGCAAGTGTCATTGCATGTGTAGGATCCGGGGCCCCAAAGAGCAGAGAACTTTGTCCACTGTCAAAAGTATCCGTGAGGAGCTCAGAAAAGAGTCTCAGATTTGTGGTTGCCAGTGTGGCCTGTTGTGCAGCTGGCTCTACTCACCCTGCTTACAGCCCCCTTTCCCAAGCACCCCTGAAGTGCCAGGCACTGTGAGAAACCTTGATGCCCGTGATCACCATATTCAGGACCGACCAGAGAAGCAAATGCTGCCATCCACAAACTTCCCAGGTGAGGACCTGGTACTCAGAAAAACAGCGACCCACCCAAGACGGGAGAGCCAGGGCTCACACCTGAGTCTCCCAGGCTCCAAATCCCGAGTCTGTTTGTCTACCTGAGGGCAGGGACCGGGGACCACCCTAAAGTCACAAATCCATCCAATGATGGATATAGCCAACATTGTTTTATGATCCATGAAGGGAAAGGAACACATCACAGAAAACAGTGCTGACAGAAGTCGTCATAACAATGGTGATAAAAATAATTGCTCACTCGAGTCCCAAATTGGCAGTTCACAAATCACTTTCACCCACTTGATCTCAACAGGCCTGTGAGTAGGTATTACTACTCCTTTGAGCAGTGGAGGGAACCTGGACTCAAGAGGTTGTTTTCTTGCCAAGGCCCCATAACTCTTTAGGGGTGATGCCAAGACTTAGCTGCAGTCCACAGATTCCAAGTCCTGCTGTCCCCTGGCCGCCTCGCTGGCCATGGGGAAGACCTGTACTTTCTCAGTCACGACAGCCCTCTGTGTCAGCCGCAGTGAAGGCCGGAAGCCCAGGTTAATGGGGGCCAGCTTCTCTTTTCTGCCCTCTGACGGTGTTTGGTGGACTTTCTCCCCATTGGAGATTGGTCCTTTCCTGGCAGTGGGATGGCAGGTGAAACAGCTTGTTTCTCGGGTGGCCCTTCTGAGAACGTGGCTATGTTAGGTTTCTATCGCTGTCCTAAGACATTACCAGAAACCCAGTGCTTAAACAACACAAAGTATTATACTACCTCCCAATTTCTGGAGTTCAGGAGTCCTGTGTGGGTCTTTATGGACTGAAGTCTCACGCTGTCATGCCCAGGCTCGAGTGCAATGGCATGCTCACGGCCACCGCAGCCTCAACTTGCTGGGCTCAGGCGATCCTTCCACCTCAGCCTTCCAAGTAGCTGGAACTACAGGCATGTGCCACCATGCCCGGCCAATTTTCTTATTTTTTGTAGAGACAAGGTCTTGTCCAGTAGTTCAGGCTAATCTCGAACTCCTGGACCCAGGCAATGCTCTCACCTCTGGCTTCCAAAGCGCCAGGATTGCAGGTATGAGCCATCATGCCCAGCACTCACTGGACTCAAGTCAAAGGGTCAGCAGGCTATGTCCCTTCTGGAAGGTCTGGGGAAGAATTGTTTTCCTACTCATTGGGGTCTGTGGCAGGATTCAGTTCCTTGGGTGGAGGACCTGGGTTCCCGTTTTCTTGCTGGCTATGAATGAAGAAGGGTCATTCCCTGCAACTAGAGGCCACTGTTCAGTGTCCCCTTTCTCCTTCCTCAAAGTACTTGAGCACTTTTCACAATCCGTCTCTACGACACACTAGTCTGATTCCCTCTTCTGCTGTTTAGGTCTCATGTGATAAGACCGGGCTTACCAGTTCAGTCTCCCACCTCAAGGTCCCTACCCTTAATTATATCTGCAAGGTTCCTTTGCCATGTAAAATAACCCAGCCACAGACTTCAGGGTTTGGAACGTGGACATTTTGAGGGACTATTATTTTGCCTACCACTGTGGCCTTGTCTACTGTTTCTTCCAAGCAACGCTGAACTCCAAATGTGCTAGAGAACAGAAATAAACTTTGAAACCAGAATGTTTCAAACCCAAGCTCAGTTACTTAACATTTGCGCAACTTCAGACAAAAGTTATGACCTCTCTGGGCCTCAGTGTCCTTCTCTGTAAAATGGTGATGCAATCGTGCTTACCGCCTGCTTTGAACGAGGTTTGGCAATCAAGCATTTCAGATCTCTGACTCAGTTTCTTGTGCACATGCCTATTACTTTTCCTCTCCCTTTGAGAGACATCTGACGATTAGGAGTAGGGAGAGGTCCCTAGCTGGGGGAGGAGATCCATTGCAGGGTTCAGGGGTCCACCAGGTTCCCGAAAGTATATACAAAATGTGC